TAATTTACCGAGGCTATGCCAAAGACATGATCGCGGAGGCGAACCAAGGGGCTAAACAAACAAACAAACCGCGATGACTTACTAAAATATGGAAAGAAGGCTGATATGATAACATTTAACCTGACCTATCATTCAGACAACCCCAAAGTAAGTAAAATCACCGCGAAACATCGGCCCATTGTGGATTTATGGGACGCACTAAGGTTAATCCTTCTGAAGAAACAGGTAATAGCCTGCCGGAAACCAAACGACCTCAAGGACGTCCTAGTTAGGGCCAAGCTAATGCCAATCAACAATCAAGACCACCGTAGTGAATATGGCCCCTGTGGCGATAAAAGATGAAACACCTATCAACCTATAATAGAGACCAAGGCATTTTCTAGCACAGTGACTCTTTTAAATAATTATATTAACGTTGCGTAGTAGCCTACAATTACTACTGTATCACTGAAATATCCAGGATATAATCTGCACTTACGTAAATATACGTAAAATAACAGACGTAGTTATGGCGGTTCGATTTCTAGGTCAATACTAGTCATATAATGTATGACATGTTGTTTTTGTTTTCTTTTGTTGTGATATGTCTTACTAGCCAAAAAACAAAAAACAAAACGGCTTTGCATAGCCAGTTCAGATGTCGTTGACATCGGAACGAGTAGTCAAACTTTCAGGAATATCTCACACACTTCCACTAATTTATAGTAATTAATATACTTAACTGTGCTGTCCTTATCCTGGTGGAATCAAAATATGACACTAGCAAATGTACGCATTTTCATTTTCCATTTGACATACATTTAAAATTGTTGCAATGCGACAGTAGTCGAGGTTTGCCGAAGTATGATCAAGTAGGTTCTTGTGGAGGATATGTTTCTTGAACGAAACGTAACGTTGTTTACAGTTCCAATAGGCATATATTTGTATTCTTTTCGTTAAAGAATAATATTACAATCCGATTCTATTTCGGCGTTCCTGGGTTTCATTGCTTTTTACTCAACTAAAATGTAGTCCAACGAAACTTGAAAACAGGTCCATTTCGTTTGTGAGAAATAGAATTTATTAGAGAAAAAGACATCAGGGTAAGTAAAGTTTAACAAAAACATAACTTTATTTTGTAGCAAAGTGTCGTTATTGGTTGCCAGTTGTTTGATATTCCTAAAAATTCTACTTTCGTTACACATCAAAACGCGCTACAGAGCGCCGTTAGTTTAACAGTAAGACACATCATCCCTGTTGGGTTTTACGTGGTAGGACTAGGCAAATACAGATATTTCCCAGTTTCCGCATCAAATTGAAACAAACTAGTAAAAACAATAAATTTAAAATTTAATTCCTGTAAAATCAGCCATGTAAAGTTTTGCAAACACTATGGTTTTTCTTTTTTTATGTTTGTCATGTCTATGTTTTGTATATACCTTTGAAAACGATCATTAAGAGTCGACAGCGCTTGGGTTAGTTAAATACTAGTTTTGCACCGTTCGTTGTTAGTTTATTACATGTTGTCTAAATTAAACAAATCCCCAAATAATAAACCATCCAAATCTGACCATGGGAGCTTAGCTCTCCCCTTGACGGTATTGACATCACTTCGAAGGCCTGTCCCTTTGTTTTTTTTTAGCTTTCCCGCCCTCTCATTGTAACTTTCTTACCGCCTCTATTTAAATAAAACTAACATTCCCTACATCCATAATAATTTCCACAACACTAACAATGCTGCCATACAGGGAACGTAAGAAGTGTGTGTGTGTGTGTGTGTGTGCGTGTGTGTGTGTATTTGTGTGTGATTTAGATTTTTATCGTAGCCTTAATAATGCTTCAGTCATATGGCTACGATGATTACAGTGTGACAGTTCATATTGATGTATAGCACTGGGGGCATCATGCCGCAGACATGTGGCATGATGTTCCACTCAGTCACTTTATCCTGACACCAGGCCAACCAGTCCTAACACTAACCTCTTCTTAATGTTGAGCGCCATGTAAGGCATCTGTTAGTACCATTTGTAAAGTCTTTGGTATGGCTCGACCAAAGATAGAACCCACGACCTCCAGTATCCGAAGCGGACGCTCTAATTACTAGGCCATCGGAGCGGTTGCAAGAAGAGAAAAGATTATATTTTTAATACCTGATTTAGGACAGTGACTGTCCTTTGCCTACCGAATACAATTTCCTGGATATGATTATATATTTATCTTGTGTAGGGTTATTCCTATTATATTTATAGACCGATAGCAAAGATAGCATTATAATATCGAAGTAAATTTTTATCACAAGCAAACAGTGCACACCCCTCCTCATTCCGGTAAAGTACAGTTTTCTGTTCAAGTTTTTAAAAAGGCACAACTGAATTTTTGTAATAAGAAAATAATTTTTGTCTGCCTTGAAATTAAACTTTGGATAGTTATTTGTTGTTGTTGTTGTTGTTGTTTAGCCAAAGCAACCATTGACAGAGATAAAGAAAATATTGATGGAACATTGCGGCTGCTACAGTGTAAAATGAAATCAAAACTTGGCCTGTATGAAGCTGGAATTCAAAATTATTTCCTCTCTCTCTCTCTCTCTCTCTCTCTCTCTCTCTCTCTCTCTCTCTCTCTCTCTCTCTCTCTCTCTCTCTCTCTCTCTCTCTCTCTCTCTCTCTCTTAACAAATCTATGCAAAATGAAATGTGTAATAAAATGAACAGATAATGGTTAAGCTGAAGTCAGCTAGAGTGTATTGAATCAAAAGTGGCAAAATTTGTAAAAACAAGAAAATGAAGAGGAGAAACTGACTCGTACACTCTTACTTATATAACAATATGTGCTGGGATTACCCTAAAAACGCCAGAAGTTTACATATAACCCTTTCTTCAGAAGCTGAATTGTGCTTCCCCGGCATTTTTACGGCACTGACATTTAGAAGCAACAATTTACCTTCCAGTCATGCATGTGTTATAAAAAAAAAAACTTCAAGGAAGAACGCTTCTATCCTTTCTTACGCAAACTATTTAAGAATCAGAGCGGATATTTCAAGATTGATTTCGCGCAGGGAAATAGATTTTGATACCGATATTTAATTTTAGAATTCTACTTTGTCGCTTAATATTCAAGTGCATCGAACTGAATGGAATACTAATCCCTGAATGGTCAGTTGAAAATCAGGTAATCGCTAAGTGCAATATATCATTTTAGGTTGACCAATGAGAGGTCAGTATTTAATTCAGCTCGTTGTAAACAACCTTGCACGCTCATGTTACTGCAACTGTCCAGAGTGCCGCATGCAGGGGCTTTTACGGAATGTAATCCGTCAATCGTGTTACGAAAAGATCTCTAACATAAGATTCACAACTTTTCAAATACCTTTTAAACATTTATCCATATTTGGAAATTAAAAACAAAACATGGCCCGAATGTATGCATGCAACAGTTTTGAACCTTATTAATAAGGTTGGGGTCAAGTCTGGGAGTGATCTCATCTAGAGAATTCCTTGTGTTTTTCATGATATAATGTAACAAATCTACATAAAACATTCAGTTTTATTTTGAATATGGAAACAAAGTTGGATTGGAAAACGTACAGATAAAGAATTAATAATTTATGACTTTATTGTGCAGTGGGTTCATGTAGTGAGGTCATCTTGACTGATCGTTTTTATGCTTTCATGATGTCAGACAATCAATTAAAACAAAACAATCAATCTTGTTATTAAAACTGATTCGACATTTATGACCGAATAGAACAGTGACGTCAGGAAGTGATTTCGTCTTGAACGAACAAGGTAAACAATTTTTTTCCCCATTAGGATAGGTGTCATTTAATGTTGCTAACAAACATTATGCAATGTGAATTCTTTCATTACGTAGGAAACTCAATACCAAAACAGATTCTTATGTACACATCTGAAAAGGTCACCAATGTACACATTTCCGTAGAAACAATATGCACTGAGGACCATGAACAATTTTGGAGAGAATAACCCGTTTCTAATGATTATGACCACTTCATATTATAAATTTGTTCCGCATTCGATTCCCAATAATCTGGTGTCGTAATTGCAATGCATGTGACAAGTTTTCTTCATTCATTGTTTAAAGATACTATTTTTGTTTTATAACCCTATTGTTTATCTATGAAGATATTTATTTCTTAAAATAATTCATTGTTTTGTTAGGTTGGCTGACTCGTTTGGTTGGTCATCATAAAATAAAAATCAATTGAGATTCATTTAATACATGGTCATTATAATTAATAAGCTTAAATTTAAATTTTTCCTGTTTTTCAGTGGATTTTACTATAGCTAATGACATTACGACTCTGTGGTCTTAAACTAAATAATCGAAGAGTGTAGCCAACCAGTTTTGTAAAATTGAACAAATTTATTTCCTAGAATAAAAAAATGAAAATTTAAAAAGAACTTATAATAACGAAAATTAAATCCCAAATAGTCATAAAAGATTGATCATAATACAAATGTATAAAGTTCCAACTAATTGAATTGGTGTTTCATACAAATTCTAATACTGAATGTATTGATGTGCCTGTAGTCTGGAATATGATATTGCCACAGTGGCCAGCAGTGTGGCGATGTGCTAAATCCTTTGTTGCATCGGAATAATATAGTCCAAAAAATGTTATCGCAAATCAATAAAATTTCAATATTAATGTTCCAGTCTAAGAATATTATGGATGAGGACTTTGTATTTTCACTGAAAAATAATTTGAATAAATAATTCCACCCAAATGAAATACTGAACACAAAAAACTGAATATATCTTACCTGTTAAATAAAAGAATGAGTAATTTCTAAAGTAAACATTATATAAAAATCTGAAATATAAAATTAGAACTAGGATGAGGGTCATTTCAGGAATATTCCAAGTTTTCAACAAGATAAAATCTGTAGCTAAAATTTTAATAAACATGGTTCCAATAAACATCATGGCAAACATCAGGTAGAAAAGCTTAATCAATGAGGTACTTCTTATGGCCCAGACTCTGATCCAGATAAACATGTTTCCCACCTCTCCGGTGGCCTAGTGGTTAGAGCGTCCGCCTCGGATGCGGGAGGTCGTGGGTTCGATCCCCGGTCGAGTGATACCAAAGACGTACAAAAATGGTACTAATAGCTGCCTCGCTTGACGCTCAGCATTAAGAGGTTAGTGTTAGGACTGGTAGCCTGGTGTCAGGATAATGTGACTGGGTGGGACAACATGCTACATGTCTGCGGCATGATGCCCCAGTGCTAAACATCACTATAAACTTTTACACTGCAGACATCGTAATGACTGAAAAATTGTTAAAAGCTACGTTAACAATTATAAACACCACACCACACCATGTTTCCCTCCACTGATAATAATCAAAATATTTAACCCACACGCGTAGAAAATGTTCAGTATGTATTATTTGTTTCCAAATCAAAGTTCCTGATATGTACACAATGAACTTGATTCTGGACAAGGTCAAGTGCAAAATACACTTATACATAACATATAATATAGACAACAAACTATATATTGCAAGTCAAAAATGCATAACAGATGATCAAGGCTCTTTTAACTTGATCTTGTTGACTGGACCGATTTTTAAAAACACTAGATGATCCTCGAAAGATGTAAAGACATATTAGTTATGTTCAGTAAGGACCTAATAAAATAATGTTCACTATTTCAAAACAGGCATTTATAAGAGGCTAAAGAACGATATACGCAATCTTCAAAGGGTTTCTATAACTCAGTTTCATCAATAGTTCTCCATCTATACTCAGACACGAGTGCTTGTAAGCCTTTAACCTTGGCCCGTACCGATCATCGCTGGTAGTGTCATCATACCGTTTGTGTGTGTGGCGTTTTGTGTGTGTGGCGTTTTGTGGTCCTTTCTGGGTTCCTGATATCCACAACATCGATCAACCATAACTTGGCAAGCAGACTCTATACTAAGTGTAACCCCCCCGTGGGTCATGAATCCATGTTTATTGACTGTAAAATTGGATTGTTTCTACTCGAATCTTACTGTAGATAAATCCGCAGCCGCTCGGTTACTTTTCTATGCCCAGAGTTGTAGATGATTTTGTATTTCAGGCAACATAGACTCGAATTTGGCTGCGCTAATTATTTTATCGTCGATAGCAACTGAATACAGTTTAGTAATCATGTTGAGACTGCTTTGTAAAGCTGTAAGCATTTATAAATAAATACGTATTCATGAATGTAACTGTATGTAAATTAATTTGCTAGTACCAGAGACACCGGAAACTATCGATATAGCGTCAACAATAATTCAGATAGGCGCACCTATTATGGTTGCAATTACTGTCATACTAAAACCAACTGTTGTTGCCTCAGTGAGACCGCAAAGAGCATCTACCACCAAACACGTGTGTTTGTATTAACGTGGTTCTCTTGGTGGTTTCGTTTCGCAGATATGAAGTACTACAATTGCACTACTCTTGTCCGGATTCCTCACCTCCAGATGCAATAAGCATACATATTTATAACAACTTAATCTTTTTTAGATGCACCAATGATGGTCGTCGGGGTTGCAATTCCTGTCACACCGAAACCAACAGTTATTACCGCATCAAGACAGCAAATGGCATCTAGGACCAAACACGTGCGTTATATTTTACTACCAATGCTGTTCTCTCGGTGGTTTTGTCTTGCAGCCGTTATTCCGCTGTGATTTGATTTACGTCGGTAACCAAGAGGGTCCATCATAGTTCTTCTATTAACAACACCCTCACGTAGTACAATTGCACGACTGGCAGACCTTGCCCGTACTCTTTGACATCCAAGTGGAATATGCAGACGAACGTCTATGCAATTATAACTTTTTACTGGTACAATCGTCATATAGAAAACCTCTTTATGGGGAAAAACTGATTCTGCGGCGATTGTGCTTTCTGGTGGTCTAGCACCTCTTTCATTAATAACACTTAATACACCTATACATTTTAATTTGACGACGAATTTTGTCCAATAACTGTTACCTGAACAAGAGCGTACTTGTACAACAGTCAGATCTCTTTTTGTCTCATTTTAGTAAGTGTTCATGTAAAATATTCATTATTCAATGTAACCGGGGTGGATAAAGCGGCAAATTCTGCTTGGCAACTGTAGAAACAATCCGGAATGTTTTCGCACCTGGTGAGGCAGTCAAAGCTTGGGCGTCTTCATGTGCGCTTGGGACGTTTCCAATTTGTCTTTGAGTTGGATGTGATACATCAGGGTTATTCTAACAGGTGAGATTTAATTGAGTCCCAATTCAATTATAATTGTGTGTATATCTAGTAAAACCGTTTTGAATCAGATATTCTTGCTATCGATATCAACATCCGCTGCCATTTGGCCTATCATCCCGTTAGTAAATTATGCAACCTCATCACCTTGATCAAAATAAAAACAGTAAATCTAATCTTAAATGCAAAACGCTAAAGTACCCTTCAGGATAAATGTCGAGTCCATCGAAATGAAGCTCATTTCCGCCAACAAACGACACTGACATTGTGTATATGAATTACTCTTATTCTTAGTATCATCTTTAGTGTTACGCGTTACTGCAGTACTAATGGATCAATCTATGGATATTATTTATCAGTATTGCCATTTTCACCACACCTTCCATTAAAACAGGCTATGACGAATAAATACGAGTAAGAAGATATGTAAGGTTTAGGTGAATCTAAGCCATTTCCCACATCATTGAAAATCAACTGGTTATTTACCACAAGTTTTTTTTCGGTAATTAAAAGCTTTAAATACCTCACCCCCACCCTTGAAGTTACTACGCGTGGTGGTGCAGGCATGTTGCCGATTTGTTCATTAATGTATTATGTAGCTGCAGCATTAATTACGTCAACATATTCGATGATAAACACAACCGGCAGGCCGGAATATTTGATTCCGCCATTTTCAGTGATTTTAACCTGTTAAATTGACAATAATGTCTTAAATGTCAGCGTTATGTGATTTTCAAAAAAAAGTCAGCTGGATCTAAACGGATAACAATAGAAAAACTCGAACAAATCCACTCTTGCAGAAACTCTGCTGACATCCACATCAGCACCAAGTCGTCGGGCAGTGTAATGTCAGTAAATAGTAGTAGATAGCTTCTTTATTATTAAATATACTTCAATGTGAAATTAGTAAGTGCTTGCAAAGTTAGTGAAGTCTCAAATGCACGAAACGCAGCGCCGTATCCGTCCAGGTACATAACATTTCAGAGTTACTTTCAGCAGCTATTCAGCAACAAAACGATCGCATATGGGTTATCTAACCGTTTTCACTGATATAGTTGAATACAACAGTGGTTGTTTAGGGTGCCTGGTTAAATAATTAACAAGTTCATATAGTGGTGCAAGTCCAAACGAGCCAAAATACAGAATACAAACAATGTTGAGTTGTCGTCACTTAGACAACCCAATAAATGTCAGATCTTGTTAAATCCACCGATAGCATTCGTTTCACATAAAGTTAGCACGAAATACTAGACTGATTTAGCCATAGCGAGCAAGTCAAGATTGGTCAATGACATGATCGCATACTTCTTGTACAGTGGATATTACGAGTCTCATTCCTTGTAATCGAATACCTTTTTCTTTTTTTATACGACCAACTATCGCCAGTTTCAGTTCCTGATGTAGTTCTAACAGTCCTTACGCCTCAGCTTTTGAAACCGCTGGAGCATTTGCTACTAGCAACACTGGAATCGTTGCAAGGAATGGAATTATTGCATCAGTCTTTTGTATTTGTGTCGTCTTAACTTTTAACAGTTTAAATGTCACCGAGGTGTTGTTGTATTTGGCCACATTAAGCTGAGCAAATTATGTTTTGGTCAACCATACGTGGATATTTCCAGTCAGTTGTGTTAAAGAAAATTTCAGTGTGACCCCACAACCGTTTTCACAGCGTTTCTAATTTTTTCAGCTGATTTTAACTAAGTCCAACCTTCATTTGATGATGGAATATTATTTACATACATAACAGGCTGAATTATGAATATGATAACAAAAGTCATGAACTTTCCTGATGCGCCTTGAGGACCCTCATTTGGCCACCCGCACCCTCCAACAACATGTCCTTTTCAGAAAGAATCACAGCATATTATCTCTCATTCGCATCACCGTAAGCTTCACATGCACGAAAATATATGCCGACAACTAATTGTCTAAACAACTCCATGTTCTCCGGTGAATAAATTGGATACTAGAGTTTTGGGGTTATCACATGTATCCATATTGTTAATGTTTCTAATGGAACTTTACAGACAGAAGCAAATACATCACGCCAAATTGCATCATTGGAGCTATTCTTACTAAATAAGGTGACTGTATACTTGGCTCCAAATATAACCTTGCGAACATTGTTACAAAACCCAAATATGTCACAAAGGAAATTTGCACACGACAGCCTCAATGAATCACCATTTATGATCGACGCTGTGCAAATCCAAGATGAAAATAAGGATTATACAACGTTCAAATCTTGTATCCCAGCTGTGCTGGTGGAAGTGTATGCGATCAATAAATAGGTCGTGCCATTTTATGTGACCTCTCATCTGCGTGGTCTGTTAAATCTTGGTAAATATCAATGTTGGACGACTGTTCTCGTGTAATCATCGCTGTATCTGGTGAATTCGAGAATCGTCATGGCTATGCCAAGGTTGTCAAGAATTGATTCGATTTCTTTTCTGTTAAACAAAGTCATGATACCGTTGTTGAAAATTCCAACGCGGGATCAGCACCGTGATGTGCATTGTTGTCGCGTGTAGGTTTTACCTTAATTTCGAAGAATGTCTCACATGAAAAGAAAAATCAGACGTATCTTTAACTTGAAATTCTATTTTTAATTTTTTGGGGTCTTTGTCCGGCTAGGAATAATGCTGAACATCTCGTTTGCTTCGATAACTAAAAAAGGCGCGCCAAGAACCATATATATATATATATATATATATATATATATATATATATATATATATATATATATATATATATATATATATATCATTAGATTGAGCCATTGTTTGTACACTACGAGCTTCGACTCGTACCTGTACGTGACGGCTTTGGCGACTCCGAGACTCTAGTCCTTAACTATA